AAAGCAAAATAGTTAATGTAAACGCAAAGGGGAGGAAACACCTGGGAGGGAAAGGTGGAAACTACTTTCTTATTGTCTTATCTTGAACTTCTGCACTGTTTACACAATTAGGTTTGGCTTTGTTCTGTCTTGTTTTGTTAGATTTTATGCTGCCTGATGGTAGGGGCACTATTTTGAATATAATGGGATATATTATAGTAATCATGGTTTCCTAGTATATTGCTTTGAAGTCCTATAATGCTTTCATTCGTTTGACTGGTTTTATTATTTTGTTTGATTTTATGTGTGATGGTATGAACAGCTATTTTGAAGAAAACAAGACATTATGGTAGCTATTGCTGATTTATTATCATCTTGTTTTGAAGTCCTACCATGCTTTTGTTCTTTTGTTTCGATTGGTTCTATCTTGTGGTTTATTTGATTTTATTATGTGTGATGGTATAGACAAATTTTTTGAGGAAAATGAGATACTACAGTAGCCACTGTTCATTTCCTATTACTTGATTTTGAAGTCCTGTAATGCTTTAATTCTTTTGTGTGTGAAGTATGCTCAACTATTTCTAAGAAAAGAGACAATAAGGTAGCAACTGTTGATGTCCTGTTTTCTTGTTGTGAAGTGCTGTATTGCTTGTATTTTTCTGTTCTGATTTGCTTTGTTCTGTTGTGTTTTATTCTCTTTAAAATAAAAAATTAAAAAATATTATGTGAGATAATGAATGCAAAGAACTGGAACACAGTAAGTAATAAATGGTGCCTTCTAATTATAAATATTATATGCCTAGAGGTTCAGGGAAACTTACATGGGTATCTAGATTGGACATACTGAGGTCTTGAACAGAGATGTAAAACGAAGTCAACCTAGGAAATATTTAAGGAATATGACTCACAAAACCCAATGACCAACTGGCTATAGATATGTGGGTGAGGGAGGAGGTTCCAGGTATAGGATGGGTCTAGGATGGGCACCTTGACAGAGAATTCAGGAGGCAGAGCACATTGGGGAGTCTCAGTCGTGCTGAAGAGGGGCCCATGTGCCAGCAGGAGTGAATATCCATGAGGTTAATGGCTGAATCTGGAGTCTGGGTGCTGTGTGGGTGTGAATGGGAGAAAAGTCTGTTGTTAGTCTCTCACACACCACAAGAAGGAAAGAGATTACCCATGAGCTGTGTTCAGGCAGAAGAGCAACGAGCCCTGACAGAATCCTGCAACACACATAATTCAAGATCATGGAAAGAAAGAGGTATCCAAGGAAGAAAGAAAAGAATCATAGAGGATAAGAAAAACCAGCAGGCCTCTGTGCAGTAGAAGCTAAAGGACCAGGACCTCAAGGAGCCAACCTCAGTGGAGCCAAGAAGCTCAACATGTTCCAAACATGTTCACAAAACATAGTAGACACTGCTGCTAGTTTTAGATTAAGAGTAACTTTTAGAGGACAATGGGGACAGACGCCCAACACTGGATTCAGGTCTAAGTGGCAGTGAGGAGTACAGTTTAGTATACATCTGGGTAAAAGGGATGAAGAGAAATTAGGTAGCAGGAGGGGGATGCAGGGCAAAGGTTAGGCTAGATACTGTTTCTAAAATGAATCGCTCTGAACATTTTGTGAACTGAGAAGGAAAAGGCAGATAGATGGCAAAAGGTGATCATGCAGGGGAGACTGGCCAACAAGTCCTTGAGGAAGAAGCAGGGCTTCTGAGTTTCTCCACGTGTCAGCTGCTACAGAAAGGTCTGGCCAAGCACAGATGAGTCAAACAGACTTTGCTCCAGAGCTTGCAGTCTGGGGGAAGGGGGAAGCCTAACTGTCAACACATTCATCAGAGAGAGTGTGACATGCATCAGTGCCAGTTCTTGGGTGCATCAGGACAGATAAGCTATAAGTGGTGCCTGGCTACACAGGCTTACCATACCTAAGATTGGCTGTCACCTCTGTTCCTGAGGCCCATCATCACTGCAGCTGGCACCAGGCCTGCCGGGAATTCAGTATTTTTTAGTGTCAATGAAAAATATACTTGTAAGGAACTTTATTTCCAAGGATAGAAATTTTACAGAGATATAAGAGAATATTCTAAGACACAGCAATTTTAGGTATTAAACAATCATGTATTAACTAAAATAATAGCGCCCATGCTCAGTGCTATGGTCACAACGCTTGTACCCCCTGCCCTAATTTATTATGTTGAAACCTAATTTCCTAATAGTATAGAGTCCACCAAGAAAATGTATTCACACTTCAGGAAGAGAAAAGTAGCATTATGTTTTTTCAACAGACAGTGTTACCCTTGTATGGGGGTCCTAAAGGATGTCATACATCACAGAAAACTCATGATACTGTCAGCGCTTGGAGAAGAAGCTGCAAATGCATGTGGAGCAATCTCAGTGACCAAGGTTACCCCAAGTGGCAGTCTGCCATACTAAGTGGCAGTCCCAAAGCTAATGGACACCTCTTGTAACTGTAGAGGCCAAAGGTAACATATTAATCTCATGGTATCTCAATAAAGTTAGTATTAAAATGTTTATACAAGTTTTTCTTTTCCTGAAGTGTGTATATGTTTCTTGGCAGACTCTGCATTGTTAAGTGGTGACCCCATTAGGGGTGATCAAATCATGCAGACCCTACAAATATGATTAGTGCTCTTATACAAGGGTTCTGAGGAAGTCTCTTCTGCCATGTGAGGACACAGAAAGAAGGAACCATTCACAAGGTACAGGCCCTAACCAAACACTGTATCTGCCAGCACCTTGATCTTGGAAATCTCAACCACCAGAACTATGAGAACATTTGTTGTTCATAAATCACTCAGCTTATGGAAGGATGTTCCTCAAGTGATGATGAGGTGATGGCCCAACAAATTCATAAGGTGAACATATTTCAGTTGAAAACACATTTTATACACCCAATCTATTGGACATAACAGCTACGCAGTGCACCATAGCAGATCAGTTCTTGCCTCTGGTGATCACAAGGCTGACTGGGAACTGCATTCACCTCCTAAGGCTCAACACTGTATCATATAGTGTACCTCTAGCCCAGGAATGACCAAAATCCAAAACTTGAAGCAAGTATATGTCACTTTTGCACCGTCATAAAGCTGAACTATCGTAAGTCAAACCATCTTAAGTAGGAAACCATCTGCAATTTGCTACAGAAGTCCACAATGACTGTGAAGAGGCAGCTGAAAGTTAGGAGAAAGGAAGAGATGAAGTATGGAGGTCAATCAAGTGGAGAGGGCCTGAAGTGGCTTCAAAACTCTCTGGCCAAGTGTATCTCCCAGTCTGCCAGCATACGCTGACAATTTTAATCACTTAAGTAATAAAATCTTTCACTTCAAAGTTTCAGATAAAGGACTAAAAATGAAATGTATATTAGAGATTATACATAAGCTAAATTCATTTGTTATAAAATGAGCCAGGCAGGCTCTGGAATCAGATCTGGCTGCAAGAGGTGTAACACTATGTCTGTAACCTGGACCAGTACACTTAACCTCTGGGAAAGCAGGCCATGTAACAGATGATCCCCAACTCCTTTCAAATGTCTGTCTGTCTGTCTATCTATCTATTTACTTATTTATTTATACTGGGAATAGAACTCAGGACCTTGCACTTGCCAGGCTGGCGCTTATGTCACTAAGCTATAACCCAAGGCCCAAATCTATCCTTCGAAAGTTCTAAACACAGTGTTTTCTCAGTTTTTCAAGGATCATAAATTCCTCTGAGTCTAATGAAAGCTGTAAATTCTCCCTCCTTTTGCCTCCCCAAGTAAACACAGACACACAAAACCCTGCATATCATCTGCGGGGTCCCTGAACTCTACCCTGGTCCCTAGGTAAGATGAGGGAAACAGCACAAGGCAACTCCTTACAAGGACAATTTGTCTTTCTTAGCAATAGGACTACATACAATAGTGACCTCTGCCAGACCCAAAGGACAGGCTGTGGTGTCTGACCTTGGGTGTCCTTCTCAATCATAAACCTCCTTATCTCTGAATTCCCCACCATCAAGCCCAGCTGCCTGAACACAGTAAGTGCCCATTTTAGTTGTGCTTTAAACTGTTAAGGGCCATCATGGTTTGGGTTTGTAGTTGTCAAGTTTTTAGACCCTAGTTCTTATAAGTATCATTTTCAAATGTTCCCTTTGACAACAAACATGGGACACATGGCCAAGATGATAGGTTTGCTTTGCAGGGGTCTAACTCCTAAATGGATTCTTTCTTTTTATGTAATGGGAATTTGAACCCAATGCTTTCATACACAGTAGGCAAGCGTTCCCACCAAGCTACATCCTCAGGCCCTTTCTAATTTTGAGACAAGGTTTTGCTAAACTGCCCAGGATGGCCTAGAATTTACAATTCTTCTGCCTCAACCTCCTGAGTCACTGAAATTACAGGCATGCATCACCATGCCTGGGAGCAGAACTAAATTTTACTTAACTAGAGGAGTGTGGTCTGTCCATACTATAAGCTATGCCTCATTTCCAGGGCCAAATGTGATGACTATCTCGAACCCCCCACCAAAAGAAAAACACATTGCATTTGCTTTAGTAGAAATTCCTTACATTTGGTTAGAATCCTTTATACTCTCACATATGTACAGTATTCATTCGAGAGGCAATGTACACAGTGCTTTAAAGATAAAAAGAGAATGTACCATTTAAGTGATCACAGACAGGGTTTTCTGACAGAGTCCAGCACCACAACTCAAGTCACATTTTTATAAATACATATTTCTCTATTACCCTTGTGCACAGGTGTGATGCCTCTTTTCAAGAAAAAATAGCTGTGACACAGTATTCAGTGACAACATCTAAATAGCACCTATAATTTAGGAAAGCAAAATTTCTATAATTTAGGAAAGCAAAAGCCATTTCAACTTCAGCAATTTTATACATATGATGAAATGGTTTAACTTTTCAATATTTCAATATTCAATAAGAACCAAGTTTTCATCTATGATTAAGAACAAAGACAATCCATTTTACAAAGTAGGGAGAAATTCTATACTTACCAATAGCACAATGTAAAATCTAAGGGGGAAAAAAGGAGGGAGAATTAATTAGAACCAACAGTATTATAGCATCACACATAGAAATTATTTCAGTAACAACAAACAAGCTGCTACTGACACACATTTGAAAAACAAATGTTCCATTTTTAAACTCGGCTACAGACTAACAAAATGTGAACTTTTTTTTTCTTTTTTAATATAACTTAAAATGTGAACTCTTACTTGGGTTTTTGTTTGTTCATTTTTAGTTTGTGCATCTTTGGGAGATGTCTGAAGGAAGATGTCATCTTCACTTAGTCATTTGTCAGTTGTCAAACAACTCTTTTATGACACACAAACTCACAAGAGCAATAAGCGCGGGACATCTTCTACATCCTGTGCTCTGCAGAACATGTCAGACTGTGGGACACACAGACAAAAGACCAGCTGTTGCTCCTCTCACCTGGCAGGCCCTCCACTGCACACAGTTTCTACAGGGCTGCATTAACCCTCAGTCCCTGTCCTGCACTGCTCATGACTCACTGCATAGGCACTCCCTGGTTTAACTCCAAACCCTGCATCTTCGAGCTCCAGGGCCCTATTAAAAACTGCCACGGACATATCTACCTAGTGCACCAGCAGATATTTGAGTACAGCCAGTCTCTAATGAGGTCCTTCTTTCTTACCTACTCTGTTTATCATCCACACTTACTCTGCGGAGTTCAACTTCTCAACCCCAAGGCCAACTGATTTTCAAGTTCTGCTGATGTTTCTACCCACCCCACCTTCCTTTGCTTTACAGAGTATTAAGGGCTTTCACACTGAGGTATATCCCCAGACCTTTATTTTTTATTTTCAAAAAGGATCTCATTAAGTTACCAAGTTGCCCAGGCCAGGCTCAAATTTGCAATCCTTCTGCTTCAGCCTCACAGAATACTGGCATGACAAGCATGTGCCACAATACCTGGCCAGTCTTCTCCATTTTTCTTTCCAGTAGCTGGCTTAGTGATTTTATTTTTAAATCACTTTATTTATTATAAATTGATATTTACACTTGGCCACATTGTCTCTAAACACTCAAACATTTGCATACTGAAATACACATTTTACTGCCATCACCACTCTGTCTCAATGGCCATCTAACCGGCCAGGTTAGTTCTTCTGAGTCCCTTTCCAACTCATCCTTTTTACAGTATTGCTTTAGCCCTGGTGATGAAATAGAAAAAAATCTGCAATCACTTACAAGAGCAATGTGATGAGCAAAGCTATTCTAGATGCTAAGACCTAATGGTTACTGTAATGCTTTGTAGAATTTTTATAAAACTTCTCTAACAGTCATTGTAGTGTTTGATCCTAACAATAGCTCTGGCAGATAGGCAGGACAAATACTCTATCTCTACTTCTTGATGCAAAAATCAAAAATCATCAAAGCTGCATGATGTGGCTAAGGTAGACAACAATGGCTAGGATCAAGAACCTAGCTTTTATTTCTACTCTAGTGCTTTTTTCTTTTCTATATTGCTTTTGACTAGACTCTGTACTGCAAAACTATTATTTCACTAAACTTTTGTTTTTTGTCAGGGAAGAGTGGAGAGAGCCTGGATTTAAAACACAAGCTGCACAAATTTACTGGTAACTGAGAAGAGAACAAAGAGGTACCATGCAGCAAACTATACAATCTTTCTCAAAAAGACAGTACTGCTAAAGAATCACAATTATGTGAACGTTACAATCTGAACCTCTTGCTGCAAAGTAGGGAAAACTAAATGATATGTCTAGATTCAAATGAGGAATCAAAGACATGAATGAAAACCACCCTCTGAGATTAAAAGAGATGGCAGCACCTACACTGCAAGGAGCAAGACACCCAGACTGCTGACTGGTGATGGGACACTACAAGAAAGACTGACAGTAGTTCAGGACCATCATCCGCATTTCAATGATAGGACAGTAGATCTAAACTCTATCAGACCAAACCCTCTTTTCTTAATCACATGTATTTTAAAATGCCTCCTTACCACCTTAAAATGAAACTCATAGATAATATGACCTATCTATACAAAATTTTTAGAAAGTGTCTTGATATATAAAGAAGAAATAAAAATAATTTGTTTTAAAAAATATGTATTTCAATACGCAAATGTATGGAGACATAAAAACATAATTAGATAGATATACATATCAGTTTATGATAAAATCTGAACTTAAAAAAATAAAACTATTGAGCCACACATGGTGGCACACATCTAAAATTACAAGTTCAAGCCTAGCCTGGGCAACTTAGCATTCACTGTCTCAAAATAAAAAATGAAAAAAAAAAAAAAGGGCTGGGGATGTAGCTCAGTGTGAAAGTCCTATGTTTAAGCCCCAATACAGCAAAAGAAAAAAAAAGGCCTCTCTGGATAAGTAACAGAGAATAAAACAGCAGAGGGGTGGATTAACACTAGAACAAAAAATAGCAGTAAGATAAGTAATAATGGAAATGTGACAAAGTAGAAAAACTAAGGACAGTTTACAGAAAATCTATTGCTCTGTCTTAAAATGCTGTGGAGATAGAGACAACTCATCTCTAACAGACCTTGGGGATCTTTTTTTAAACAGTGTAAGAATAAATATAAGATGAATTAGAATAAAAGGAAAACAGTAATGCAAGGGGCTATAAAATCAGTTAATAGGAATACTGGTAGGATAAAGTGAAAAACTACATCTATCTTAAAATTTTTAATTCAAAACCAACATTTCTTCTACAAACACAGAGACAATACGAAATATTAGTAGAGTTGTCCATATTAAAGAAATCCAATGAAATTTCAGTCTTCCAAGTGTCTAATTTAATGAAGTCTGTTCAGGAATCTCAAATCTCCTGTCACATATTTTCAACCAGTCTCATTTCTTTTGCAGTAATAACATATTGAAGTTCTGTTCAACTAACTATACAAGTGGGAATCTTTTAATACTTTCAGAACAGAATGTGCAGGATGAATAAATTATTGAGAAAATGTCTTTATTTCACTTAACATTCTTTATACCAACCAGTAGTAGGCAGAATTCTAAAGATGATCCCCCACAATCACCGTTCTTTGGCTATTCAAACAATAGTCTAGATACTGTAGAGCAGGTATTTCATAATGTATTTCATAAATATAACTAATCTCAATCAACTGATTTCAAGGTACAGATATGTGGGTGTACCTGACCCAACTAATAAAGCACTTTAAAAGTAAATTTTCTCTCGCAGGTGGCAGAAGAGGAAAAGATATTCAAAGAACAAGAAGCATTCAATACGCAATTTCTGTCCAAAGAAAGGATGAGGGGGCCATGTACAAAGAGAAGACAGCATCCCCTGGGAGCTTAAGAGGGACTTCTAGCCAACAGCTAGCAAGCAAACACCGACGTCAGGTCATCAACTACAAGGAAATGTCTTCTGCCAATAATCCTGTAATTTGCAAGCAGATTATTTCCCTAGAGCACCCCTATAAATCAGCCAGCCTGGCTGATACTTTTATTTCACTCTTTTGAAACTCTGAACAGAAAACTCATCAAACCCCCCTTCTGACTTACAGAACTACAAGCTAATAGGATAATTATTGTTTCAAGCAGCTAAGTGTGTGCTATTTTATTATGCAGCAACAAAAAAAGACTAAATAAAAACCTTCTAACAGGCTTTTTATTTAATATTTCATTCAGATTTTTCAGTATTAGCATATGTTACAAAACTATATACATCTGTTGAGGGATTAGCCTGCAGAGACGGACACAAGTCACAGGATGTGTGTGTGTGTGACAAATCTTCATTGAGCTGGACTATTTCACACATCAGAGGATATCTGCCAGTAGCAGTCCCCATCACTAAGGCAATCAAAACACCCTCATGGTTTTCCAAAAAGTACTCTAAGGAGGTGACTTATTGAGACTCACTGAGAATCACTGGACTAGAGTAAGCAAACCTCAAACAAAAGAAATTTAGAGGAACTGCCATATTCAAAATCTCTGCTAAAAAAACATTTCATACATTTCTGTCTCCTCTTGAGCCCTTTCCATTTCCATCCATCTTACTAAAATTTAACCTAATGTGAAATGTCATTTTGCACATTTTGCTAGTTGAAACATATTTTTAGAAAAAGTTTCTAAAATTTAAACTAAAAGCTACCAACAAATCTTTTCAATTTCATTTTTAAATCTAAGGTAAAAATAAAACCAAAATCAAAACAAAAAACAAACAAAACAAAACAAAAAACACAGACAAGCAACCTAGCAAAAGTTTAACAAGGCTGAAGAATAGGGCCATAAACAGCATTGGAGGCATCGGCTGCAGTTAATGGATTTAATGGGATTAGCTACATTGATTCTGCATTTGATTTCAATTCCAAATGCCAAATACTTAGGACAGAAAACTGACCTGCACAGTGTGGGTGAGGTATGCATCCCTGGCCACCTAGTTATGCCCTGAGAAGCAGAGTGAGATGTAGCTGCTATGGGTGCAGCTTTGACAACTAGAGGAATTTCCAGAAGGAACAAAAACCACTGAGCTGGTATGTCACATTCGTTATGGAACTGCTAGCACCGAGTTGAACTGAGCACATCTCCTTTATTCTTTCCAAATTTGCCACAGGTGTGTCACCATGTACACTCATTTTTACTGTGTAGGGCCCACAACTAACTTGAGTTACACTCAACAGTATATTTGATTCATTTTGAAAATTACCATACCATACGCATATCTGATTCCATTTCTTGCCTATAACTTATCTACATAACATGCAGTCTGGAAGGATAGACACCAAAATGTTAACAGTGCTTATCTTCAGTGAACTGATGACCAATATGCGTTTTCTTCTTTACGCTTATCTAGGTTCTGTAATACATAAGATGTGGGACTCACTAGAGGGAAACACTTTCACTTCTCCTCCAGTGTCTGTGAGAGATTTCTCCCCAGTGTTACTAGTCTCTTTCCACCTTTAATTTCTCTACCTTGGGAAGAGAAGGATGAGTCACTCACCCGAATGGTAAATTTGGGAAGAATAAAGGAGATGTGCTCAG